GGGGGTGGGGAAGAAGATATAACAACTATACTTTTTTTGAAGTTGTTACAACAAGCAAACGGAAAGGACATTCTTGGGGGGGAGGGGAGAGAGGGAGGAGGGCGGGAGGTGTCGGTGATGGGCCATAATAATCATATACACTGTATATTGACAAAATAAAAATTTAAAAAAAAAAAAAAAAAGCACTATGCTAAGTGAAAGACAAACACAAAAGGCCACATATTACATGGTTTCATTTACATGAAATGTCTAGAATAGGCAAATCCATGGAGATAGAAAGTAGATCAGTGGTTGCCAGGGGCTGCGGGGAAGGAGGACTGGGGGTGTAGTTGCTAATGGGTACTCTTTTTTTTTTTTCCTAAATGTTCTAAATTTAGAAGGTGGCAATGGTTGTACAACTCTATAAATACACTAAAAATTACTGAATTGTGTGCTTTAAGATGGTGGGTTTTATAGTATATTTTATCTCAATAAAGCTGTTATAAAAAAGATCCATCTTTAGTAATATGAATAAATCCATCAGGACCACTTTCTAATTTTCTTAATGATTTCTGAGGATGGAGTCCACAGTCCCCCCCTAGGAGGCCATCCCAGTATCATATGCCCTGAAAATGTTCATTTTCCTAACTTTCTAAGAAAGTAGAGGTTTCCTTCCTTCCTAGGGTATAATTATTTTGGCTAAAATAAGAGAAAAAAGAAAGGGGCTCAGATTCCGGAGTCCTTCCTTCTTTTTTCCTGCAAAACTACCAGAAAACAACAATCTGAATTAACTGACAATCTGAAACTCTTTACATTTTTCCAATTTTATTTACTGAAAAAACATTCAGTAAAATTTAAGAATTAGTCCATAATTCCACTACAGTAGAACAGCTGTTTTCATTATCCATTTTCGTTTCTAGTTGTCCACAGCTGTGATCAGTGTATATCTAATTTGTATTATTTTTCTCTTTGTACTGTAAACATTTTATGTTGTTAACATAGTTTCTGTAACTATCATTTTCAGTGTTGCAATAATATTCCATTCAGCTGATATATTATTTTTTACCTAACTTTTCCCCTATGCTTACTTTAAAGTTTTCTTTCCCCAATTTTTCTGAGTGTAGACAAGGCTGTATGTATTTAGATTTTCCCTCTTTTGAATTATTTCCTTTTTGTTTCTCAGAAGCAGTTTCTAGGTCATACAAGTATGAACATTTTTATGGCTCTTGTTATCCAAACTACTGAGATTTTCAACACTACTTTGCGCTGTGGTAGTGGTGGTGGTGGTATGTGTATAGATATAGATACATAGGTTAATTTAAAATACCTGAAATAGTACTAAAGGACCTGTTATTGAATTTCATTTTTCAAAACTAAACCATCTTTACTTTTTAATTATAAAAATAGCAAATGCTCATTGTCAAACTTAAACATTTATAAAGTATACAAATAGAAAGTGAAGGCTTACCCTACCCTTCTTTGGAGGTTGGATTAAAACACATTGCCTCCTAAATTTGAGTTTGTCTAAGTATGAAATGATCAAAGGCTCTAGGAAAGTCCCTAAGCCCTCAGCCACATAGCCTGCCAAAAGCCCACACTAGCTCAATGGGAGGAAAGAATACCTAAGCACAGGGCGGTGGGAATGTGAGGACTAGTGGGGCAAGGAGATGTTGAGTTAATACATTCCACAGGAAAAGGGGAAGAGACTGTGGTGTAGTTTTGAGAGTAAAGAGATGAAAGGAGGGGCTAAGATATTTCCAGTGTAGTCTCAACTGAGAGTGT